CTGCCTTGTGTTTGAATATAATTTTCCTGATTTCTAACCCCTCCCAACTGTGGCAGCATCACCTCCATCCTCACCTCCCAGCTGCTCCCGTATTTCCGACACACTTCACCAATTTCCCGTCAACTTACATTTTATATTCCCCTCACAGCTGGCGTCGAGTACAACATCTGTCACCTACAAACGTTACAACTCTAAGAAAATTGTTTTGCAGCTGATTTTCAGAATTCAGCACCCCCCCCCCCCACGCACACACACACACACACACACACACACCCCACCCCCAGCAGAGAAAAGGGTTTGAATCTGTCGACTGAAGAAACCTGGATTTTTCCATCTTGCTGGCATAAATTATTTAATTTTCATTTGATCCAAAATTCAACTCAAACATAAAACAAGAGAAAACTCTGAAAACACAAAATAGGCTAATTTTATAAACGACTACATTATCAAAATAAACGTAAAACCAGAACATCTAAAACCATCAGAAAATGTTATTTTTACACAGAAAGCAGTAAAATGGTGATTAAAGATCCCGTTTGTTTTCATGAGTGGGCGGGGCTTAAAGCATGTACTGCAACCAGCAACAGAGCGAGCGAGCGTTTTAGTTTGTTTTAGCTGTTATTGTCAAGCACCTTGTGCTAAAATCACACATTTAATGTAAATCAAAGTTGAATATTGTTTAAAAAAGGTTTTTGACGTTCTGGACGTTTTAAAAAAAATGTGATGGTCCCTTTTTACTATTTTGGAGTTTCATCAAAGTACCTCCAGAAGGAAGGCAGAAACTCTGGGAAGGAGCTGGAGGAGAATTCCTGTTAGGTCTTTGATTCTGGTGTTCCTGCAGTGTGAAAGGCCTTGTGGTGTAGAACATGTTGTAGAAAAGAGGCAGAATTTATTATCTTAGAGGAATTCTGTCGTTCTGAAGACTCAACCTGGAGTTTGTGTTTCTCCTCTCTGCGTTCTTTAGCTGTTGTCAGGATGAGAGAAGAGATGAGTGAATAGGGTGTTTGTAGTTTCTCTGCAGCATTTAAATCTAATCTGAATGATTCTTAGTGATAATAAACAGCCTTTTTGCCTCCATCGTGAGTTTGTGTAAAAGCTGCCATCTGATCAGTGCTGTTACCGTTGCTTCATGTCAGAGATCGTGAGTCTAGATGTGCTAGTTAGCCACGCGCTAAACCAAACGGGCTGAACTATAAGACCGATGATCATTAAACATGTGGTTCACTGAAAAAACATCTTTAATAATTATTTCTGATTCTAATGAGTCACTCGGTGTTTCATGCAGGCTGAACATGAAAATAGTCTCCTACACCGATCTCCTGCATTAGCTTCTGATGGTGAAACTAGGATTAGAAAAGCTTGCCAGATCTACGTCACACGGTCACTTAACATTCATTTTTTAATTTTTTTATTTTCTTTCTCTATTATAGACACATTTCTATGTGTTGGCTTTCAATGAAGAGTAAACCATGATTTTTCTATTTCATTATAACTGTTTTTGGTTCTTTTACCCAAGTGTGACCCACTTTTATGAGCTGTTTTTTAACTAAAAGTTTACTAAACTTTCCATCTTACATGATTGTAACGTTTTGTCTGTCTGATTGTAGTCGTTGTTTTTAATCATTGTGTTTTAATGAGAGACTGTAGAAAGAGAATCAAGCCCCCATAATTCTGCAGCAAATTTGAAGCCAACAAGGAAGTGGCAAAAATTGCAGTTCCACCCTCATCTGCTAGGGTTTGGCAGCAGGAGAGACCATGTATAAAATGCCCATTTCACAGCAGAAATAAACATGTTTACAGCCTGGTCCAAAAAAAATAACCATTTAAAGTTTAATAGATCTAGTTTGCATGAATGACAACTCTGAGGGGAGTGAATTTTCTTGAAACTCTTCTGTTCAAGAGGAATCTAATGGTTAAAAATTCATTTATTTTTATTTATTTTTTATTTTTTTCGTGTCCTGTCTGGCTGTGAAGCAAACAGAATTGATGTGTTGAATGCTGGTGACGAGCCTTACAGATTTACTCTCAGGTGGAGCATCAAAGCGTCTGCTTTTAATGTCACGCCTGATACTTAAAACTTTATTGTTATTGTTTTTGAATGCTTTTTAATTCCGACCAGACACGGAGACAGAGGTGAAAGAGAAAGGAAGAGACAGCAGGTGGGGGGGGGGGGGGGGGGGGTTCCACAAAAATAAACAATAATGAACAAGAGTCTGCTTCTAGACCTGCAGAAAGAGAGAAGAAAATAAAATGGGACACAACAACAATACAACAAGAGCAAGCTATCACTGCGTCAACGTGATGAAGAAATATATAATCAACATTGTTTAACTGAACAATCACACGATAATTGAATTTCTAGTTAGTGTTCAGCATTTTTTGTGTACGATGTTGTCGTAAACGGAACCGTACACATTCAGTTGGTTGTGAAAGGGGGCTATTTTTAGATGAGCACATTAGCTGGTTAAGCTAGTGGGAGCTTGCACCATGGGGAAGTGCAAGTTTAATGGTAACTGGATGGCCAATCCCACGTTCGCGACGTGGTTAGCACCGTTTCCAGGCGATAGCTGGAAATTATAGCTTAAATTTAATTATAAAAATAACTTAAATTTGGTCTAAATGGCCTTATAAAGGTCTTAAAAAGTCTTAAATTTGTCTCCCTTAAACCTGCAGATACCCTGTTTTTATATCTATTTCTATATTTGTGTCTAATTCCAAGCGAGTTATTCCAATAATCACGTCAGTGACAGCTGTTTAGTCACCGATGATCAGTTAGCAGAGAGAACAGCAGTGGAGTTTATAAAATTCAAACATGAACTCAGAATTAAAGACGTACCAAAGTTAGGTGAAGGCATCTTCTGCTCCTGATGAAACAGGAAGTGTGTCTCGGCGGCCGTTCCTCCACCCGGAAGCTGATCTGCTCTAAAACGGAGAACCAGGCTCTCAGCTGACCCGACCCATCTTTAGAGCGTCTGACTCATCTCTGCGGTGTTGCTGCGCTGTGGATCTTCTCCCAGGTGCTTGTGGTCAGAATCTGAAACTGTTGTGGATTTTAGGTTTTGCCTGGAGCCATAAGTGTTTTTCTTGGAGCTGCTGGAGTTCCAGCTCCTCAGACTCTTACTTTGGGACTTTGAGCTCTAATTCAGAATTTTTTATTTCATTTATTTATTTGCCGAGTCTTCAGCTCTCATTTAGCTACAGTGAGGTTGATGTCGAACCTTCAGATCTACAGAAGACACTAGGATGGCGGAACGAGATATCGCTGGTCGGTTATGCTGATGGGAGCCTCAGGTGGAAGCAGCTACCTGATTAGATCCTCTGCTCAGGTTCTGCATCATGCAGCTTTCAGCCATCAGGAGGATGTCCTCCTGAGTGCCGTGTGCAACCCCACTCCTCTAATAACAATAATAGTATGCTCCAGCAGCTGATTGATGATGATTACCCATCACTCCCCTCTCTGCTGAGGTGGAGCAGATATGACTGACTGATGAACATCTACTGAGGCTCATTTCTTCACCCAGACGGAAACACAGCAAATCTTTCTCAGCAGGAATCCATCCGTCACTTTGGAGATGGAGGGAGCATCATCTCCTCGTTAGGACAAATCATAACCAACATCTTGTTTTTATTAAGAATCAGAGCGACGGAGCAGCAGAATGTTTACAGACACCAGCAGATCTTAATGGTGGATCAACGGTTATTCAGGCTTTTATTTAAATCTGAAGTGTTTTAACCCTTTTAGAAGCAGAAGCTTTAAAAACACACAGAGCTTCTGTTGGCTTTAGGAAAATAAAAGGAAACTGAGTTTTTTATTTCTGCCCTAAACGATAAAAAAAGACCCTAAAACTATTATTTGTTCATTTTCAGTTTAATAGAAATGTTTTATATAATTATTGTGACTCCTCCCCTCCTGGATTCTAAACTCAGACCTGTTCATTACGACCCCCACATCCTCCATAGAGAAGCTTGACAGATATCAAACCATCCCTTTTTGACCGCTTATCCAGAGTCGGGTCGCGGGGGCAGCAGCCTAAGGCGAGAGGCCCAGACTTCCCTCTCCCCAGCCACTTGGGCCAGCTCCTCCGGGGGAATCCCAAGGCGTTCCCTGGCCAGGTGAGAGACATAGTCCCTCCACCATGTCCTGGGTCTTCCTTTAGGTCTCCTCCCAGTTGGACGTGCCTGGAAAACCTCACCAGGGAGGCATCCAGGAGGCATCCTGACCAGATGCCCGAGCCACCTCAACTGGCTTCTCTATGTGGAGGAGCAGTGGGTCTATTCCGAGCCCCTCTTGGATGACTGAGCTTCTCACCCTATCTCTAAGGGAGAGCCCAGCCACTCTGCAGGGAAAACTCATTTTGGCCGCTTGTATCCGTGATCTCGTTCTTTCGGTCACTACCCAAAGCTCGTGACCATAGGTGAGGGTAGGAACGTAGATCGACCGGTAAATCGAGAGCTTCACCTTCCGGCTCAGCTCTCTCTTCACCGCGACAGATCGGAACAACGCCCGCATCACTGCAGATGCACCAATCCGCCTATCAATCTCACGCTCCATTTTCCCTCACTCGTGAACAAGACCCCGAGATACTTAATCTCCTCCACTTGGGACAGGACCTCATCCCTGACCCGGAGAAGGCATTCTACCCTTTTCCGAATCAAGACCATGGTCTCAGATTTAGAGGAGCTGATTCTCATCCCAGCTGCTTCACACTCGGCTGCGAACCGCTCCAGCAAGAGCTGAAGATCACGTTCTGATGAAGCCAACAGGACCACATCATCTGCAAAAAGCAGAGACCTGATCCTCAGGCCACCAAACCGGATGCCCTCCACACCTTGGCTGCGTCTAGAAATCCTGTCCATAAAGGTTATGAACAGAATCAGTGATGAAGTGCAGCCTTGGCGGAGTCCAACTCTCACCAGATACGACTTACTGCCGGCAATGCGGACCAAGCTCCGACACCGGTCATACAGGGACCTACCGGCCCGTATCAGAGGACCTGGTACCCCGTACTCCCAGAGTACCCCCTCCACAGGGCCCCCCGAGGGATGAGGTTGCCAGTCCAGTTGAACAGCTCCTGATGTTCACGTGATACTGCAGAGCAGCGTCAACCAACACAGCTCTACAGCATCCAGAGCCTTAAGGAACTCCGGGCGGATCTCATCCACGCCCGGAGCCTTGCCACCGAGGTGCTTTTTGACCACCTCAGTGACCTCAGCACCAGAGATTGGAGAGTCCAACCCAAAGTCCCAAAGACTCTGCTTCCTCACTGGAAGACGTGCCGTTGGGACTGAAGAGGTCTTCAAAGTATTCTGCCCACCCAGGTCAGCAGTACACCGTCCCCACTATAAACAGTGTTGGTAGCGCACTGCTTTTCTCTCCTGAGGTGCCGGATGGCGGACCAGAATCTCCTCAAAGCCGTACGGAAGTCTTGCTCCATGGTCTCGCTGAACTCCTCCCACGCTCGGGTTTTTGCCTCCGTGACCACCCGGGCCTCATTCCCCTTGGCCTGCCATTACCCATCAGCTGCCTCTGGAGTCCCACAGGCAAAAAAGACCTGATGGGACTCTTTCTTCAGCTTGACACCATTTCTGTCTGTGTCCACCAGCGGGTTCGGGGACTGCCACCACGACCGGCACCGACGACCCTGCGGCCGCAGCTCCGGTCAGCCGGCTCAACAATGGAGGCACGGAACAGGGCCCACAAAAAACTCACTTTTTATTTTATTATCACTCTAAATTGATCAAACCTATCACAATGTAGACATTAAACATAAACTATTAAACAATCATGTTTTTTATTTCATCTTTTCGAAAAAATCAAAGGAACCCAAAGTTTTCATTCTAGGCAGCGCTGAGCAGTTTTACATCCATTATCATGAAAGTTATTTTGAACCCTGCCGCCTCCTCATTAACCCCTTCTTTTTCATAATAGAGCAACCCGATTTGATGTGTGATTAAAAGTAAGCTGCAGATTATCAGGCTGGAAGCTAATCAGTGATGGACTGCTGACCCGTCCAGGTGTAACCCACCTGTCCAGGTGTAGCCTACCTTTGCTGTCCACCATAGGCTGATTCCACCTGAACAGATTTAGGCAGATAAAACACAGAATAATTGGATTGATTTTCTACGTCTGAAATGTTATTTTAATTTTGAATAAAAATGCTAAATCATCTTTTATGAGACCAAAAAAAATAACACGCATCATTCTTTTCAAAATAAAATGACTTTCTGAATCTGAGAGTCAGACTTTGTTGTTAAGATAAATAAAATTATGTCAAATCTGATGAATCTCCCTTTAAAGTTTCTCTTATATTTGACTAAAGAACATTTTTTATTCTTTATCAAAACTTTTTTTCCCATTTCATCACGTTGTTTTGATCTTAAACTAAAATCGTGTGGATTTTCTGAGTCTCAGAGGACGGTGGAGGAACCCGGCGTGTAAAGGATGAGGTGGCTGTTCAGCTAACGACGTAACCGGATGTAAGACCAGAACTCGTTTACTTTCCATCTACTTTTAGAGTCAGTTTGCTGCTCCGGGCTCTGGTTTTCACTCGAGCTCTTCATCTCCAAAAGCAAATTCGGTTTTCCGCTCATAGGGTTCCAAAACCTGCTGAGCACAGATTCCACGTCTCATTTTAATTTCAGGAACAAGGTTTTAAACATGCAGCTTTCACCATCTCGGCATGAAGAGACACTACTCAACAGGATAAAAAACGACTTGTTTCTGTCTGAGTTCAGTTTTCTTTGGAGAGTTGATGACCTGATTATCCGGGCTGAGCCCATCATGCTCCTGTGGTCGTTTCACCTGAAGTGATCCGATTACATCCCAGAACAGCAGCTGACTTGAAGGCTGCTCGTTTCTTCCATTCCCCGCCGCTTACCCGAGGTTAGATTACGAAGATGACTGACTCGGGAGGGAAACCTGGACATCCCTTCCCTCAGTGACACTCCTCGCCCCTTCCTGGGGGATCCCACAGCGTTCCGAGAACAGAGAGGATGCATAATCCCTGCAGAGAGTTCCGGGTCTTTCCCAAAGGCTCTTCCCAAGTAAACGTTCCCGGAAAACCTGCAGATGGAGTCGACTTGGGAGTCATTCTTGTTGGATGGATCTCAGGACCATAAATGAGGGTCGGGACACAGATGGATCAGTAAATAGATTCCTCTTTTACTAACGAGCTGGATCAACTCCTCCATGACTGCAGCTGGAGCCCAACGGGTCCACTCCATCCTGCCATCACTAATAAACAAGCACTCCATTTTTAATCACCAGTTTATTAGCTTTAGTGGCACTGATGTGGACGAACAGCAGGATGGTGCAGCAGAAATGGTGAAAATTGAATGAAATCTTGGTGAAACAGCGAGCAGAGAGAGCTTCAGGTGTGCAGCGTTGATGGAAGGGAGGGGAGAAGTGGAACTGACAGCACTTTGGTTCCTCCTTCACCAGATCAAACAATCCCCGTCAGTAATTAAGTCACACTTCCTCTGCCTTATAACAGCTGACGGGGATTGGGTGGAAAAGTCGATGGATGAAGTGGCGGAAAAATGGAGAAAATCCATTAGACAAAAAAAAATGAGAAGTCCTGAAGTGTGTGTGTGTGTGTGTGTGTGTGTGTGTGTGTGTGTGTGTGTGTGTGTGTGTGTGTGTGAGAGAGAGAGAGAGAGAGAGAGAGAGAGAGAGAGAGAGAGAGAGAGAGAGAGAGAGAGAGAGAGAGAGAGAGAGAGAGAGAGAGAGAGAGAGAGAGAGAGAGAGAGAGAGAGAGAGAGAGAGAGAGAGAGAGAGAGAGAGAGAGAGAGAGAGAGAGAGAGAGAGAGAGAGAGAGAGAGAGAGAGAGAGAGAGAGAGAGAGAGAGAGAGAGAGAGAGAGAGAGAGAGGAGAGAGAGAGAGAGAGAGAGAGAGAGAGAGAGAGAGAGAGAATTCTGAGCCTAAAAGGAGGGTCAGTTCCTCCTCATCCTGTTGCCATGACAGCTATTTGTGCAGTGTCCCCAAAATAATGACAAGCAGTGAGGAAAAGGGACGCAGCACAAAGGAAAACAAAGTTTAAATATCTAGATATGAATATGGCTGATGAATTAAAATTATTTGTGATTAGGTGTGTGTGTGTGCGTGCGTGTGTGTGAGAGAGAGAGCGTGTGTGTGTGTCTTGCTCTAATTACTCTTGGTAGACTGAGGCCTAGTCCACACGTAGCCGGGTTTTTTGAAAACGAATACCCGCCCCTCCAAAAACTTGCATCCACACCACCTCATTTAAAAACAAACTCTGTCCACACGTACCCGGATAAATACGTTGTTAAGGACATGCCAGACCTGTAGGCGGCAGTACTTCCCCCGTTCTTAACCTCGTCCTTCGTCTGTGGTCTTCCGCAAGGAGCAGTAATTCCGCTTGCAAAAACAAACAAGCAGAAAGCGCTTGGACAATTGATAAAGCGAGCGCAGCTCTGAGGGCGTCCATGCTGTCGGCTAGTGTAAACACAGGTCGCACACGTGATGTCAGCATTTTTTTTGTCGCGGAAAGTGACGTTGCGGACCTTAAAACTCCGGTTTTGTCTGTCCACACGCAGACACCCAAAACGGAGAAAACGCAGATCTTCACTTTGGCCGGAGTTTTTAAAAAGATCCGTTTTCGTGTGAAAAAACTCCGTTTTCATGTGGATGACAGGCCAACACGTAGAAAAATATCTACGTTTTGGCAGATCCCCGGCTACGTGTGGACAGGGCCTGAGTTAGCACAGCAGGTCGGAGCATCTTCCCACTCCAACTTTACTCCTGGTCGTCTCTCCAGCACACAGACATCGTTCAGGGTTGATCACTGGGAAGTCATTCCCAACTCTTTCACCCATAACTTTAAATCCCGGTCAGAGGAAAGACCCCCCCTTTGGGACTGAACACCTCACATGGAGCCAATTGGCTTATTTCACATAGTTTTCTGCACATCTGTAAAGGTTAAAATCTGCTTCTGTAATGAAATCCGTTCCCCTCGGAAATCACGTGAAGTCGTGTTTAAGGAGGATTCATCCCGACCTCCTGAATTGATTCGCCGCCTTTAGGAGGCCCTGAAATCAGACGCATTCCTGGCATTTTCAGCAATTTGCTTCTTGGCAGATGTGATGTAATTAGATCAGCCTTTTTCCTTGATTGGCCAAACAAAGAGGTTGTGTTTTGTTTTGTTTGTGGTTTGTTCCAGCTGAAGACAGATGAAGTGGTCTGTAAAGGCCACCATGTTTATCCTCCTCCGGGCTGTGCTGGTGGTGAGATGAAGAAATGAGGCATTGTTTTCATTTAAGATTTGTTATGAGCCTTACCCTCACGTCTGAATCAATCCTGGTAGAGAAAACTGAGCTGTGGTAAAGAAGCTGAACAGGTTCAGGGTCTGTTGTTGCTGTGGGTTAGCCTGGCAAGCCAGACTAAATAAATGTATTATTTAGTCGGCTCTCGGTTGTGGGGCGGGTTCTACAGTTGTCTTTAAAATGATCTCAGCATTCCTCTGGACAATGAATGTGACATACTCTTGTTTCACTCTAGCCCCCTTCAGACAGGCCATGAAAAACGGAAATGTTCCGGACTCTGTCCGTAAGACCTTTCTGTCTGAATACAAACATCCGGATAACGTGTTCCGGAATTTATCCGGACGAAGCCCCTAGTAACAGGTCCGGACTTGTTACGGACAGGGTGGCTGCTTCAGACTGGTGAGGTAGAGTTCCGGACAAGGGGGGGGGGGGGGGGGGGGACCGGGGGACGCTGTGCGCACCTAGATAGCTCGCTCCTGTAGCATGCAGCGAACCACGGCAGCTCGCTTCCTACGGTAACGCCTAGACGCGCGACGAAGCGCTTCACACCGCTTCAGTGATTCCTTTAACCATTGAGCTTCATCATCCAGGTCTCTTATGCGTCTTCGTGTGTGCAGAATTATGCTTAAGCGCCTCGTGATTTTTATCTTGAGAGGCGCTATAGAAATGATATTTTCTTCTTCTTCCTAACATAAGTCCGACCCCCCACCCCCCACCCCCGCCGCCGT